TAGCCAGTTAATGAGGTGTAAATTGATTGCTTGTTGCCCCATATGTTCGAGGGATAAAAACCATTAGCTTCACAACAATCACCAACAAAAGCCATACCAAAGGAACCTTTTCAGCCTAAGCTACTAGTATTTTATATTCATCTTCTCAAATGCCTGTAAGAAGATGTTAATAGAACTCTTGATGTCAAATAAGAAATGTTCAATCTAATAGTTAGAGATCAAGGCCTCTCCACCGGAGTTGTAATGTAATAGACTAAACTCTCAACCACTGAGATATTATCCTCTTTGGTCTAATAGCCTCACGGTTTTATCACATTTGTATAATTTCTTGGGAGGTCACCCATTCCTAGGATGCTCCAATACGAGTATGTTTAACTTTGAAGTTTCTAAATCCAACCATCACAGCAAAATGTGTCACTTAGATAACTAACGTCCTAGACAGTTTCCTTTGCCCAAAATCATCAACTAGGCAAGTAGAATTCTAAAGGTAGAGTTCTTATCATCCAATTGATGTATTGCTCTGAAATGTAACAACCTAAACTTTCAACCATTGAGATATTATCCATTTTGGCCTAATAGCCTCACGGTTTTGTCCCCTTGATGTAACTTCCTAAGAAATCACCCATCCCAAGAGTACTCTAATATGAGCAAGCTTAACTTTAGAGTTTCTAATGAAATTTAAATCGTCACACCAAAAGGCACATCAATATTTAAAAGTTTAGTTTTATTTTTTTATGGGGTTTCACATGCAACACTATAAGTATTCTTAATAAGAGGTGTGTCTTTGTCCAAAAAGAATATTGAAAGGTGGGAGTAAGAACTTGAGTCAATAGAGCTTCATTGAATCAACATCCCTAGGGTCAATTGGGTCTTCCTTGTAGGGCCAGATATAGTAGAGATGATATTACAATCCTTAAAGCACAATCATCGTAAGAAATGCCAATGGCATAGTTCTAGGCCTAGGTCTAAATCTAGTATTAATAGGTGATGCCTAATAAAGGTTATTGTCCTAGACAAAGACTGGATACTCCATCAAATTCCCTGCTCATAATAGTCCTTAGGCAAGTTCTGCAACATATAACATTGGTCCCTATTATGGCCATGATAGGGATGGTACTCAAATTATCCACTAGTCTCATCATTTGCATCTATCAACATCAAATGTAGGTCTAAGAGGAAATTTAAGAAAATCTTTATTCTTAATAAGCACTAATGTAGTACTTTGTTGTCGCTCAAGAAGAGTGTATTCCTAGTGCTTACTTCAATTGAATCGCTATAAGGATTCTCAATAGGAGTGCTTCGTCCAAGAAAAATATGGGAAGTCAAAGCATGAACTTGAGTCATTAAACCTTTATTAACACAATCCTCCCTAGGGTTCATTGAATAATTGTTTCATCCTTAAAGGGCCCAACATGGTGGAGATGATATTCTACTCATTAAGGGAGGGGGAAAAATCTTTATAGGGGCTAGTGGTATTCATCTAAATTTAATTGTAGTGTTTGTTTGTTATGCCTAGCAAAGATGTTTATCCCGGATGAACACTATATACTCGTTCAAATTCCTTGTTCAGAGTAATCATCTAGGAAGTTCTTCATAAGATAGCATTATTCTCTATTTTATGGGGAAATGTGTGTGTGTGTTAGGGGGTGTTCTGTTTTGTAGTGGCTATTAGTATTCATCTAAGTTTAAATCTAGTGTTTGTAGGTGATGCCTAACAAAGATTCTAATCCGGGACAAACACTAGATACCCATTCAAAATCCTTGCTCACAGTAGTTATAAAGCAAATTCTTCATAAGATAGCATTGTTCTCCATCGCAACCATAATCTTGTTAGTATTCAAATTATCCAAACTTGTAGTATGGAGAAATGTACTTATCTTCGAGTAGAGAGTGAGGACGGAAGGTCATGATTTCTTGTGTCATCACCCAGCTCGGAAGCTCAAGTTTATAATGCGGGAACAGACTGTTAGATAGATATCACAGTTCTTTCAATATCAATAATTACTCAATAGACTAATATCCAAATGTAACTAAAGAGTCACTAAAATAATTTTCCAATCTGAACACATAACAAAACAGTTCTTACCTATTTCAATTGATCTTCTTCTTCTGCACACGAAACCTTCTCGATCAATCATTTAATCCACATGAGATTTACTAAAAAATTTAATTTAAAAACTCAATAGTCAATTATAGTTTATAGTATAGCAATTAAATATCCATACAAGTAGCCATGTAGTCATGCTCATTTATCAAAAATTTTATTTAACATAGATATAAATATTTAATATAGATGTACATCAATTTTTTTTATTTCTTTTTAAGTGTTGTTTTTCTAATAATTCATTTTTTTCACGAACACCGTCTTAATTTTGTAACAATGAAGTACAACAATTTATATTTCTTTTTTCATTTATCACGTGTGGGCACGTTGCATCCCCAACTAATACCATAAGGGGTTGAACTCTTGTACTTGCATGCATATACTTTTTCCTTTTCAATACTTTTTATTTGCAAGTTATAATTCATTTATTCATTTCATTTTCTGTTACATATATATATATTAATATGCATGATTAATATGTATGAGCAATTTTCATATATATATATATAATGTTAATTAACTCAATTTATCCTTCCCATTGAATTGATATCACACAAACTATTTTTTTCTTCTTTCTTATCACATATAATTGTGCAATTAAATTAATAAAATCAAATCAAAATCATAAACTCATTCTCAAATAAAAAAATTACTTACTCATGTTCTTCTCCTTTTTCAACATTCTCCTTCACCTGGGGTTGAAAAAATATAACGAACTAGACACCCTTTTCTCTAACAATAAGAGTATGAAATCCTCGTTCCCACACAGCGTGTTTTTTTCCTCGCATGCAAACTCTCCTCTCTTCCCTGTCATTGTGAATAGTTGCAAACGTTCATTTGATATCACCTCCGACCCCTCACGTGCCCGTGTCGATAACATTTGGACCGCTTGCTCGTTGCTTCGTCGTCGGCTCACTCACCCGCTCGTCTCTGCTCCTCACTCACCAATTCGAACGCTCAACTCTACCTGCTTACTGGTTCGGTTGAACCAGTATCACTTCTTAGAGCTTCTTTAGGGTGATCATTATATAGGGTTGGTCTCTGGCAAACTCTTCAATATTGATATTTATTGGATGTCTCCAAAGTTTTGGGTATTTAATCAACAAATTCTCAACAAGAAACAAAAATAAATAAAAATAAATAAAACTTCCTTTATCACCTACAAAAAAGTAACATGCGCCACCGGCAACTGTATGTTAAGGAATAAGGATATATTGACTATCTTTTTTAATATTAAAATATAGGCTTAGTTTGGTATTATTGCCTTCTATTATATCATGATATGTTTTATAGTGGTGTGTTATCCTGTCGAACAAAGTTGATGATTGTTACCTAAAGTGTTACAAGGGTTGTGGTTATTTGGTAAAAAAAATTGTCACTAATATTAATAGATTGAATCATGAAAATAATTGGCAAAATCGAGTGGGTGGTGCCCCCCAAGTTTGGGCTAAATCCTAATGTAGCTAAATGTAGTATGCAATTTTTGTTAATGAATCCTCATACAGATATATACAACTTAGAAGCAGACAACTGCAGGATTATACCAAATGGAACAAGAATAATGAAAGAATTCTTCCACCCTTCTTTAAATAGAGAAAGCTTTACGAACCTTTTGATTGGGTTGAGAGCATGCAAACTGGGTGACCAATTGATGATAAAATTCTTCAAAGGTTTTAATGTTATTGTGTATAGCTAAACAAACCAATACAACATAAAATCATTCAAATTAATTAGGAGTGCCCAACAAAGAATAACATGGAAACATTGTGGAGGGCCATGAAGGCCTCATATTGATGTAGACAAAGGGGGGGGTCAACACAAGTTGAGTTTTACTTTTAATTTCTTCCTTTTATAATATGAAAATAGTGTTTTAGTTTATTTGCCTAATTAGTCTAATTTTTATGAGTTATTTGAATTTTTATTATCTTAGTAAGGGTATGTTGTTTTTGTGATAAAAAATTTGGGTCCCTCTCCCAAATTTTTGATTGCATCACATATTCTCTCCAACTAAGGCATCTTTTATTTGAAGGGATGCACATTGAATAGATTCTAGTATTTGATTCTAGTTTTATTGCAAAAGAATAGGAGAGAATGAGAATATATTCTAGTATTTGATTCTAGTTTAATTGCATTGAAATATTTGGAGTAGACTTAAATTGTATATGATTTAAATTGTCATGTAAAAATTAGTAGCTCTTTCAAATTTTGGAAGATATTTGGCGGGGTCATTTTAACTATTATTTGACATAAATGCTACTACCGTCTGATCATTTATTTCCAACTTATTATTCCAAGTACTAGAGCCAGGCCATGATAATAGGCGCTAGAGAAAAATATGGTTGATTCGTCCTTCTTCATGACCATCAAACTATCTGCCCCAATAGAAGTGATTATGACTACATTGCCATGATCATACAATAAAGGATGTAGTTATAATAGCCAAGTTAAATCTGCACCTTTGTCATTTAGTCTATTGTAATGCTTACCAGGTGCAATGATGGAGCAAGCAACAACCATAGACTGAAATGTATGGCAGTAGTCCTCTACAATTAGGTCCAACGGATGATTGCATCGTGTTTGTCCAAAGGAGTTTGGGCATACAAACTTAACGATCAAGTGTCATAGTTTAGGTCAATAAATTCATATAATGTTAAGTTTATGAAATAAAATAGCTATTTTCATAACTAAATAAGTTCATCCATGTCATAAGTATAAGATAGTTTGTTCAACCTCCAATAGGGGCGGAAACAATAAATGAATAAAATAACAGATTCATAAGAGAATCTAACCCCAATATCACCATCATTTAACTACCCTAACTTCACTAACCCCGGAAACAATGAACTGTGAATCTATGAACACTTAAACCAACTAATCCGAGATCACTGCACAAAACAATGACATGATGCATCCATCATCTTATAAAGTACCTCCGAGCTAAAACATCCTTCTGACTGTACAGAATGCGAGTCACAGCAGGAGCTGGAGCATCAGAAAACGAAGATAACTCCTCAATCTGCATCATCAAAATAGAATCAACACAATCAAAACATGAAACCCTAAAACCATCACACTAAGAATGGAAAGATAAAACAGATAAGTTAATTGAACGAAAGCTTATAAGTCGCTTTATTCAATCTGCATTAGTAACACCTAATCAACGTAATCCATCAACAAAACCACAAAAAATGTCGCAATAAACCAGAGTAAATCACCAAAGAATCACATAGCAGATTGAAGAAAGCTTGGTAATTCTTCATTATTTTCCTACCTGCCTCTGCAAGCCCTGGATGTCAACAGAAAGTGAAGATGGGGAAAAAGAGTAGTGGTGCGGAGGTGAATCAGCCGGGTACCCAGAGAACTCCTCCATGGTCTTCCTTGCATGCTCCTCATGGCTTGCATCGGATAGACACGGAACCGAGATAGCTAAGAACAGGAGTAAGAAAGGCTGCAAAAATTTCGTTTCCATCTTCGCGTCCGCGGTGGTGCGGAGGTCTGGAGTGTTTCAACTGCAGGTGATGAAGGCGGGCTTTGGGTATCCAAGCGCTGCACGAATGTAAAGGCGTCGGACAGTGCTTGTAATGCTTTTTTTAATCTATCGCTCTAAATTATTTTCCCAACAACAACAACAACAACAACATCAAGCCTTTATCCCACTACGTGGGGTCGGCTACATGAATCCTTTTTCTCCATTGTGTTCTATTAAAAGTCAAATTCTCATTTAAACCTAATAAAGAAAGGTCATTCCTAATATATTCTAACCAAGTAAAAACGAGCCAGAAAATTGCAGAGAAGAAATGGACTGCTCAGCGAAGAGGGAGGTGGAAGAGGGAGTGCATGAATCGGAAAGGATGCATGAATCGAAAGGGCTGGTGCATGAATCGGAATGAGAACCTAACTTAGCCGGAAATTCCTCTGGTTTCAACATATCGATAAGTTAGAAAGTTGTAAACAGTCAGTTTTAATATTATCGCCACAGAAAGAAGACGTAGGTTTCAGCTCATTAGTCTTAGGATCTTTGATTTTGCAATTTTAAAATAGAATAAATTTCTTTTGTCGAAAAAGTAAAAAAATAAATCTAATGTTGTTGTTTCGTAGCTTTCATTATTGATTTTAGGTTGAAGATGATAAATAAAAAAAACTGAACTTGTCGCTATAGTTGCGCTATTGTTGCGCTATTGTTGCACTTTACTTGCTCTTTACTTGCACTTTCAGGCTGTATACAAAGATGAGACATAAGCATATGAATGTTTTTGCACTTATGCTCACGATAATGGCTTTAGTGTCCGAAAGGATCATCACAGTTTTTGGCCAAATTCTAGAAAGATAAAATCGAAGGACTTTGTTTGTTCAAAAGCTGGTTTCAAGAAAAGTGATGATCATAATTCAGGAAAGAGAAAGAGATTCACTAGACCAGTTGTCAGAACTGGTTGTCCAGCTATGGTGAGGTTTGTCACTGATGAAGATGGTTACTGGCATGTCAAAAGATTTATTGAATCTCACAACCATGACTTAGCTAGCCCAGCCGACCGACACCTTTTAAGATCATGTAGGAATGTTATTGAGGAAAAAGCTTCCATCCTAAAATCGATGACAAATGCAGGGATTAGAACAGTTGATGCATATGACTATCTTGCAGAGGAAGTTGGTGGATGTGAGAATGTCGGATTCTCTAAGAGGGATGCTTACAATTTGATTCAGAAGGAGAAAAGAGCAAGGATTGAAATTGGTGACACTAATTCTTTGATTCAATTATTTAAAGATCGACAAGTTGAGGACCACATGTTCGCATGGGATGTTCAATATGATGATCAGGATAGATTGTTAAATTTTTTCTGGGTTGATGGCAGAAGCAGGATAGATTATGAATATTTTGG